GTCCAAGTCTCTGAAGAAGATCGTGGAGGAGAGCAGGGAGAAGAACCAGCCCGAGGTGGACATGTGCGACCGCGGCATCTCCAACATGCTGGACGTGCCTGGCCTCTGTAGGTACCGGCGGCGGCGGCGGGCGGGGAGAGCGCGGAAACTTCCTTATTTGTCCCGAGATGGGCCGGGGCCGCTGCCGGCCCTGGGAGCAGGGAAGGGCGTGTGTGTGTCGGTCCGGGCCGCCCCGCTCCCTGCTGCGGCCCCGGCCCCTCGGCCGTGGTGGGGCTGCCAGGGCTTCTTCTGTGCCGGGGGTGTCCTGAAGCTTTGGGCATCGGGGGCTTGGGGAGGGGCTCGTGGGCAGGGGAAACACTCTGCTGCCGGCTCCCCACAGCACCACAACGAGCCCTGAGCGTGTTTGGGAGAGCCCCGGCTCCGCTGCACCAGAGAGACCCGCGTGGGAAGCTGGGACACCCCCCACCATCTCCCATCACCTCTTCCCCTGCACCGTCTGCAGCCCTGAGCGTTGCCTGTCTCTCGCTGCTGTCACTCTGGCACTTGAGCGATGGGGAGACTGTGCCTGCTGTCCATCCTTGCCTCTCCCTGCTACCGATGCAAAAACACTAGCCAAGCAGCATCTCCTCTGGCTTTTGGAAGGGATGGGGTGATATGAGCCTGTCTCTGAATGAGAGTATTTTAATACTGTATTACAGATACAGCAGTATCATACTTCGGGTATTCCATGATTGCATGTGCTTCCAGAATTGTGACAGTATGTTGTTTCTGTTATATTGCATTTGCTGTAAATTAACTACAGCATCTGCAACGTACCAATACTGTCACAGTTCTGGAGAACACGTAAATGAAGAGCAAGACAGGTGACTTTGCCTTGCATTTGCTTTGGCTAAGAGTGCATATAATGTTATGGTACAGCTGATTTGCACTGAGTTAAAATTGTGACTGGCTGTAGTGTGCCACAGGCTGATTTCCCCGAATGCATGATGTATTGAGAAAAAAGCAAAATCTAGAACCACCAACATACTTGAAACTCTAACCATATCCTGGTTTAGCTCTTTGCTATGTATGTTACACTTGATAGCAACCAGAACCAAGTGTATGTAACTCTTGTCGCATGACGGAAATGAGTTCAGGAAAATGTATGTCTGCAGAGCTGGGAGCAGACTGAGGTATCTTCAGTCACATCAGTAAAGGATGAAGACTTGTTTTGCAGCACTTGGTTCTGTACTTCATCCTTTACTGATTCTTTTCCTGCTTCTGAGTTGTGCATGGGATTTCAGGAAGATTACATTGTAAAGCCCATATATATGTACTCATGTTAAATTGAAAGCTTCACTGTATTGCTGTTGGATGAACAAAGTAGTGTTTAGCTTGCGTTAACTACAGACTCATTTTCAAGTATACTTATCCCTTCCAGTTAAACTAATGCATTAAGAGTATGGGGCAGCAACAGAATACTGTTGCTTTTGTTAAGCAGACTTGTTACCAACACATAATTAGCCAGGTTTGATCTTTCAGGCAGGTGAAGAAAGGTGGCGTTGAGAATGTAATGCTAAAGTTAAAAGAAGCTTTTCTTGTACAGAGATTGTTTTGGGTTTACTGTACAGGCAGGGTCAGGGGCTACAGTGTGGGACACTGGTCCACAGGTGGTCACTGACACCAAATTGCTAACGAAGCATCTGAAGGTTGTCTGGCAGGGAGTTCCCTACATGAAGTGTAAACTTGTGGTACCCTAGTTACACTGCATCAGAGAAGTCTGCATGCAGATAACCTTGGTGCACATTGTATTACTTGATTTAGCATGGGGATTTCGGGCATTCTCCAATTTGAGGGGGAAGTGATGACTGCTTTCTATTCATTTAACTGAGGTCTTCTTGCTTTTTCAGTTAGTCTGCACTCTGACAGAGAAGGCATTATAAGTTGGGTTTGGGTGCTTTTGTATTGTGGTTTGGTGTTTTTTTTTTTTGTCAAGATATGTGCCACTTTCCATCTGGAAAAGTAATAACTTCCTCCAAATCTGCCTTAAAAAAATTATTGAATAGGCATTACCTCTGAATTTTAGGTAATGGTTTGATAAAATGTTAAACTTGATTGTTTTGTAACCCTACTGTAGACTGTGTTTTGGGTTTCTCTGGCTCTGAGAACTGGCAGGGAAGTTAAATGAGTCTGACCTTGTGCCTTCCCTTCTGGTTGTGTCGATACCTTTCCAGTGCAGTGCAGTGTTAAAGCTTCCCTTTTCAGAAACTGTTTTTTCCATTAAATAAAGATTTTTGTTAAAAAAACCCATCATGATTCATGCCCAGGGACTGTTTTTTCACAGCATCTTGTCTTTAATGAGGGCCACTAGTAGATGTTCAGAGGTAAGGATCGGTTTAGGTTATGATTGGATGGAACATTTTGGTGGTGTTTTCCCTGGTTTTGGCCATTTGAGGTTTAAGGCCTTCCTAGGTTGGAGGATACTCCAAAGTTACGGTATTCAGTGGACCCTGATAGGGGTTTCGTCTCATGTTAATTATTTAATGGTTGTGAATGCCCACCCCAGTGGCCAGTAACTGTTGAAGTAGGCTGTTCCCTATAGTCTTGGTTATTCTTCAAGAACAGGGCCAAGCCTTGTCCCACTGCCTATTTGAGTACTTGCTGCAGCGTGGCTAGTGGATTTGTATTTAAGCTTTCTTAATTCACATAGAGCTAATGAAGACACAAGGGTTTGGAAGCAGTGCACTGCGTAACATCTGCTCCATGTGCCAATCCTTTTCCTTTAGGTGCAGACCTGTTCTTGCCATGTATGTTTAAAACCCAGTAAAAATTAAGTGATCATAGAAAACTAGTATTAATGGAGGCAGAAGAGAAAAGGGAGAGGGGAATATATGCCCTGGCTTCTCTTCTGATTTTTCTTTCCAGTCTAGTGAATGACTTGCTACAATATTGGGCAGTCACTCATGTTTTCTTTTGCCTCAACTTCCACCCTCTGTAGCAGTTGTGGGAGAGACAAAACAGACTAAACTTGCCTCTGGAAAACACCAATGTCTCTTTCAAAATCGAGATGAAATATTTTCTACCTGGATGGAGATTGACACTTGGTATTTGAAATGGTCTTAAAACTAGCTTGGTCCTAGAAGCTTATCAACTTTCTACATCTCTTCCCTCTTTTGTGTTTAGTAAAGGGAGAGTGGAGTTTTCAGTTTGTTAGTAATGTGGTGTTCAGATTCACAAAGAAAAGCTCAGAAGTCCCTGAACCACTGCTTGCTCAGGAGTTCACTCATGTCATTAAAAGTGGAGTTCTATTTGTGGAATATTCCTTGAATCCAGACACTTCGTGTTTTCTCCTAATGACTTAAAGTACAAACTAGAACTGTGCTACAGGCCTTCAGAACATCTAAATTTTCAAGGCTTTCAGGAATGTGATATGAGAAGACTGCAGAAATGTTCTGTAGAAAAGAGATTTCATTTGAGACTAAAAATGTCCCTTGATCTACATGTTCTGTGCTTTAGCTCATCATAATAATACAAAGACCATATGAAACAGTTTTAAGCTTTAAAGCCTTTTCTTACTATACTGGCATACGATGTAACAAATGTTACACCATTTGTGAGTACATCTATACTGTAGTTGTGCATCCACACATGAATAGTTTTGAAAAATGTCTTGCCTTGTGGAAGTGTCCTAACGTATTTTGCTTTTTTCCATATTGTGAAATAAATAGATCATATTTGTTTACAAAACACCCAATACGGACAGGTAATGGCAGCAAGCATTAATAGACATCCTATGGGTGAATGATCGGGTTCAGCAAGTAGGGCATGGTGTGTGTCTTTCCCCTAGCCTGATGGTAGGGCATTTGCTGTTAGGACTTTAAACAGCCATCAGCGATTACAGAATTGTTCTTGGAGTAGGGACCAGTCTGTAATATGTCATTTATGCATCTTTAAGTGATCAGTATGGGAAACTGTGAATTGAAGAATTATTTTGCCCAAATAACTTGAGACATCTGCTGCTCTGTAGTCTTGTTGTCAGGGAAGGAATATTGGATGAAATCCTGTTTACCCTGTAAGTGTTAATTTGCTCTCATTATCGTTCCATCTGCAAGCTATTCATATTTTACATAACGTACATGCTTGTGTGGTAGGAATTAACATGCCTAGAATTAATTGTCAGAAAGTTAGTGTTGATATAATTGTCCACTCCTAAAATAACAAAAGCACAGAAGATAGAGGGGCAGGCTACTTGTAGTCATTTTGTACGATACTGTAATGGTCATCCTTCATCAGGTTCCTCCAATGGGACAGACAATGTCTTATCTTGGTTCAGCAAGGTCTCTAGAGTCTTCCTGTTGTTGTGTTTGTTTTGGTTTTTTTTTTTAAAAAAAATAGTCTTGTCATCTGTATATTTTATGTAAAGATAACTTGCAGTGCATGGCAGCAGTATATGAAAAAACTTGATACTAAGGCCAAAAGGAAAAAGCTTCAGTATTCTTTCCTTGACCCACTCTGTTTTGAAGCAGTAGTGGGGCTGGGACCATAATGAGAATTTGTAATTACTGTGCGGTTAAATTGCTCTGACAAATGCCAGTATCCTGACCCTCAAACTTCTGTGTGGATATTTGGTGCATTCTTGAAATCAAAATAACTTACTGCCTGTATGTGAATTACTGTAATGTTAACAAGGCATCTGAGGTCTGCAGTCCTCAAGGAGCTGCTGCTTAGTGCCTAGGATCTCCTCCAGTGGTATCACAAAGAAGTTACAGTAATTCCCCTGTGAGAATTTTGATGCCCTTTGAATCTTGAGGGACTGGCACTTGGGGTGAATCATCTGACCTGTTGAGTCCTGCTAGTTACACTTATCTGAGCTGTGTTCATCCAAAGCAAAATGGCCCCATCAGGTCCCCTTCAGCCTTCTAGATGTTGCTTGGGGAAGTTAATTAGTTAAGATGGATGCCTTTGTCAGAAGAGCTTAGTTGTCATACAGAGTTGTCTTCATATATACGATGAAGAAAACCACAGTCAGCTGTTCCCACAGCACAGTCCTTTGCACAGGAGTAGGCGAGTAGCAGCATACTGAGAAGCTTTCTATTTTCAGGGGCTGGTTGTTTCACATAGGTCAGTTTAATGTAAGTGAGCAAATTCCCCTCTGTGTAAGGACTGACTCAATGCCACTTTAGGCTTTCTTACTTAAAGTGCTGCAAATCTGTCTCCCAACTGGTAGTAGCTTTGGATCTTTCAAGATTGAAAATATTTTTGTCTAGATATGGCTAAAGTGCTGCTGGAAGTAGTCCAGATCACAGATGCCTAACCTTTGCTCTTTTCAAAATAATACTGGAATTTTTCTCTGGTTGAGGGATGTCAGCCTGCTTTGCGGGTCAAAGATGCAAAGGGATTTTATCATCAGGATTGACTGAGATAGTGGAGTTTCAGATGACGTGTCTAGGCTTCAGCTCTAATTTGGCCAGTGAAGTCCAGATTAAAATGTCTTTTGTCTAGGGTTTTTTAATGTTAGGACGTTGTTCTGTTCTGTATAGACATGTGAGAAGAAACCCTTCTGAAAATAGACTTGGTTGAAGAAAACAGTGATGTGACAAATATGGAGAGGGAGTGGTGAGAATAATGCTTGTAAGCTTGTGTTGTTAAAGGCCAGCAGTACACATGGCTTGCTGGTTTGGTCAGGAGGCTTATCTTTAAAATCTAAATATGAACAGAACTTTGTATGACATTTAAATTCCGCATTAATTTGATGTTCAGAAGAGCTGAGTCTGCAGCACCAAAGCTCAATTGCCCTTGAGTAAGCATCTTCATATGTATAGAAGTGATGAAATCATGGCAGAAAAGGTTCACCATATGCATAGACATGGTTTAGATCTCAGTTCTCTATTAGTAAAATACTTCCTTTTCTTACTGTTTTGTTTCTTACACTTGCATGTGTGCTGCTGTCTAGCACTTAGTGCAGTTCAGTGACTTTATACTTCTGTGGTGTGAATAAGTCGCATGCAAATGGTGTCTCCTCATAAGCTGGCTTCTTGCAGGAGTTATAAATATTATTTGGTATGTTTCTTCTTCTAAATATTGAATTACATCTTGAGCACAGAAACAGAAAATCCTAAGCACTTCTTTTAGTCTATTTGAGTTGTCATTCTTATCTGTATGCTTTAAAGGGGTATTTTAATAACCTTGGACATGTCTAGCCTTAGTGTTAACAAATAATCATTCATAGAAGTCATAGCCTTTTCATAGAAGTGGTTCATAGGCAGGGAAGAGTTGAGAAAGGCAGATCATGTTGATGGATGTATGAACTTAATTTGAGCCTTTCCTCACATAGTTTCTCAAGTCAGTTTAGCTGTTTATTAAAAGGCATGTAATGGGGATTTCTGGTTTTAATGTAATGAAGTTCACTGTGAACTCCAACAAAGGTAAAGCACAGATTATCTGAATTTTGAATTCACTCCTGAAACTGGCAAAGCTCTGTGCAAAACTGGAATGAACTGCTCAAGGCCACAGAAGTGTGACAGCGTCAGTCTTTGTTCTGCTTTAATAAACCAGAGGAAGCATCAACTTCAAAGGAAAAAACAAATAGTGCAAAAGCTCTCTTAGAACTCTGTGCCTGGCCACACAATTTGACTTTCCAGTCCCTGCACTTGCACTTCAGTGTGGGTGTTGCAGACCTTTGCCTGGCAGCAGCAAAGCAGGAGTCCCACCTGTTGGGAGCCCAGTTGTCCATCATGCTCGTGGTGAGATGCTGTCTTTTTAGCATGGAGGTGAGGTGGCATTAGTTGGTCTTGTTCTGCAACTTTAGTTCAACAACTCTGCTTTTAAAAAACAAATCTTAAAGTGAGGTGGAAGCAACTTTGTACAGTATAAAAAAATAATAATGGATTTTTTTTAAAAAGCACATTAAACAAAATCTTTACTTTCTAATGCTACTGTCGTGGGAAGGGCAAAGGAAAAATTCTGAAATGTTCCTGAAGCCCATATCTTCAAGAACAAAGCTGGAATGCCATTTCCTTGTTCTGGTGCCATTGGCCAGAGTGCTGCTCTTTGTGATGCTCCACACTTCAGCCTTAAAAGGGACTCTTCCATGTCCTTAAGACACAGCACTGCCTGACATCCAGGCATGGTGATTTCTACAGGTGTGGTGACACAGCTAGTCTTCACCATTGCCACTGTAAGAGGGACTGAGTGCAAAGCTGGTGGGAGTCTTTGGTACATGTGTGCTTTTTCCTGCCTTTTTGATAACTGAGATTTATTTGAACGTTTCAGGTTTGGGGAAGATAATACTTGACTAATTGGATGTTTCCTATATTGGTTTCTGAGGGGGAAAAGGGCCCTCTTGGATGGGATGACATTACGTGGATAGGCACACAAGTGGTTTGAATTGCAATGCAGAAGATTCCCATTACTCCTCTTGTGGGATGGAAGGAAAGATGGGTTATGGCAGTCGGTAAATCCACTGCCTGGTAAAAAAATCCTTTCTCTTTAAATACAGTGGAGCAAGGCCAATTTCTTGTTGATGCTGGTAAGTCTAAGCGAAGCCTCAGAGCTCTAGAATGACTTGTTTCTTAAATTAAATGCAGGAGAAGATGATTTTTCCTGTCACTGATGTCAGTTTGGATCTGTCTGATCTAGATTAAGTTGCCTTGGGCTGGAGACGTCAGATTAGATCACTTCTCATCTCAGGATGCCGACTGGTAGAGTCGTGCTTCTGGTGGTTGTGTTCTCAGGCTTGGATATCAAGGGCCCAGGAAATGTTGACTGTCTCCGATTGTCACAGCTATTAAAATATCTAACCAAGAGGAATAAATGCAAGGAGTATTTTGGTATTGGTTCACAAGCTTGTAATAATCTCCAGCATCTTCTCTTTTTTTTTTTTTTTTTTTGTGTGTGTAAATTATATTTAGTTATATGTGTAAGTAATTGATAGTGTTAAATGGTTGCTTATGATGCCTTTTATGTTTTAAAGGTGATGTGCCTTTTACGTTTTAAAGTTTAGAGTTCTTTGTCTGCCTTTTAGTGCTGTGTTTTCTACAATATCCTTACAGAGTTTCTATGGGCTTCTTTCTCTGTCCTGCTCTGCTTTGTGAGGTGTTGCAAGCAGTGCTTAGAGCACTTGTATTTTAGGAGAAATTTAGGGTGGGTGTGCTGTTTCTTCCTTTCTCCTCCCTGCTTTTCCTTCCTGTACAACCTGCAGTTGGTTGTACAGGGAACTGTGGTGATGCCCTTTTATTTATTTATTTTAAAACATTGAGCTTTCTGATCTGTTTCTGCCTTTGAGTGACTGCTTTCATTCCACTAACAGCTTATATTTGTCTGGGGTAAGTCGAGCTTTCAAGGGTTAGCTGAAATCGGTTGCTGTATCAGGAAGTAAAAGGTCTCCAAACTGTTTTCTCCAACTTGCAATTTAGTAAGTATTGATTAGCAGGGCCAGTTTTTACACATGCTCACCAGGATATCTTTGATCCCTAAAGCAGCAAGAACCCTGTGGGATGTCTCTGAGCTAATGTTAGTGATGTTTCTTGCTTGAGGAAAGCTCTGAGGGATGAGAGATGTAGTACTACAGCTGTCTTTCAGGCAGGGAAAATTTCTGACTGCCTAGGAGAGGGCAGCAAGGTAGTTTCTAGAGCTGTTTTAAAGAGGCTATGCTGGAAGTAAGGAAAGGGTGTAGGGGAGGGAAAGTCTCTCAATATTTCTAGTTCCAATAAAATACAACAGACTTTTTACAGGGATGGGGCAGATGTTTGAGAACTCCTTTAAGGTACGAGTTTCTCCTCTGACTATTTAGCATATTTTTCTGATCAGATACTGTTGTCAGTTGTGGGCTATGGACCTTCTAGGGAAAGCAATGGTGGTGTGTATGGTGGATGTGGGCAAAAAGAAATGTAAAGGATGAAGTGTAGGGGGATTGCCAGTCATTAGCTGCCCCATGCACAACGCTGCTTTGTTCAATAAGGTGGAATCTGAGGGGCTTTGATCAATCAGATCATTCAGTTAGTTTGAGTGCATGTTGTCAACTGGCCATTTGTCATGCAGTAACAATGCTGGTCTGCTGCTGTGCTTCATGGATGCCAAGTTGCAAGTGCAGCTGTTGGGACTTTAGGCTTAATTCTAGCAGTGACTTGGTAATGAATTGGGAGCGTGTGGAAATGTAATTGCTTGTGTGGCATGTGTTTTGTTGGGTCTAAGCATTGGGGTGCCTATCAGTTTTTCCTTGGGAAGAATTCAGAGGAGGGAAATGAGAAAGGTTTGTGTGCCAGAACCAGGCCTCTGCTGGAGGCACCAGTAGTTGCTGCTCAAGTCGTATTTGATGCTCTAACAGAAGCATGAAGTAAAGGGGCAGAGGAGTGGCTGGATATGCTCTTAAATCTTGAGCTTTTCTTGTTTATTGTGACAGTGCACATGAATGTGGAGTTACTGGAGCAAAGATAATAACTTGCCTCTTTTTAGCTGAAATAGATACAAGCTCTCAGTTGCCATGGCCATAAACTCACTTCTTTCTCTCTTCATTTGCAGTTACGTTGTCTCATATCACACAGCTGGTTCTGAGTCACAACAAGCTTACAAGTAAGTATACTCTTGTTTTTGGACTTCATTACAAGCAGTTGAGCCATACTGAAAAGCTGACACTGCTAGTTTGATTTTTTTTTTTTTTTCCCTAGAGTGTAATGTTACTGTTAAGAGTGCTTCTTTGGTGAAACACTTTATTAAAAACAAAGAGATTGAAGATGTGACTTAGCAGCCATGTTCAACATGCCTTTCCAGCTTCAGTACAGATTGGCGATGTACTGCAAGATCTGTAAATCTCACTCTTGTTACCAGTTCAGCCAAAAATGCATTCCCTACTGTGACTCTGAAGTCCTTATGTTTGAGGACTTATGAATTTAACTGCATCATAAATTATACAGTTTGTATTTTAGTAGATGGATAATTAATTTGAAGCAAGTGAAAATAAGTTACAACTTAACTGCATTGTATCTATAACCAAACACATGTGAGCAATGCCAACTGAATATGAGCTTCAGGCATGAAAGTCAAGCAGTCTACTTCTGTCAAAAAAAAAAATAAAAATCTTTTGAATGTAAGTACTCTGTGGATCTTAATTCCCATAGTAAAGAAGCCCTTAAGTGAGGTGTTGGTGAATAGCATGTCATGAGAGCAACATAAACATGAGACCTAACTTAGTGGAGGCAGAGGTCAGTCTGACTTTTGCCAGACAAAAAAAGATAATATTTTTTTGTAGGAGAATACGTGAGGCTTACACATCAGTGTCTTGCGCAAATGTTCCCGCTTCTTGGTTGTTGAAAGACAAGCAGTGAATTTCATCTGATCCATGTTACTGTGCATCTTCTCAAGAGAAGACAGCTGTTGGTTTTGTTGACATTCTGCTTGTTCTTCTCTGCTCTATCTCAACCTGTCCTTCCCTTTCTGGAACTGTGTTTTTTAAGAGTGCGTAACACGAAGAGGAGAGTGGAACCATCAGACAGGGTGTGCATTGAGCAGGTGACTGCGTAGGTGCTTTGGCATGTACCAGGCTATAGCCAAGGAAAGCTTTAAAAATTGAGATTTTTTTTTTTAATAAAAAACCCAAGACTCACAAACAGCAAAAACCCCAACAAACAAACTAAATAAAACCCAACCTGTTGATCTCCAAAATACTTGCTGCACAAGCTGTAGGATAGTATGTTATTCAAAACATATTAATGCAAGGATCTTACTTAAAGCTTTGAGCATTTGCAGAGGATTAAGCATGAGGAAAAAATGAAAATACTCTCAGATTCTAGCACATAAACTGTATCCAGAGAAGTGTTTATCTGGTACTAATGAGTGACTTAAAGGGTTTGTAGTAGTAGGAAATAGATAAAATTATAAGTACTATGTGGTTGACTGTGAGAAGTATAAATTAGTTACTCTAGGTCCTGCTTCTTATTGTAATAGTGTCCTCTAGACTGGTGTCTTGCTATTTTTTTTTGTCCCTATTGTAGTTTTCAAAGAAATCTCAATTTATTTATAGAATATGACCAGCAATTTCCAGCCATGTTAACTTGTAAATTATGACCGATGGATAAATTCAGGCAGGGAAAATTGTAAGCACCACTATTAAACACACAGCTCTTCCTATGGTTTAGAAGGTCATGAAGTTACGAATAGCTGGAAACTGAGAGAATGTTTTGGGAAAGCATCATGGTAAACTTGCTTTGGGCATATTGCTGTCTGGTATCTGTTACCAGCCACTGATGGATCTGGGCTACAGGGCCACCCAGCTGGTGGCTTTTGTGTTCCCTCAGGTCACTGTAAGGAGATGTCTGTCCCTGAACTTGAGCTGCTTAAAAGCTAGGCAGTTAATTGTATCCAGCCACTTCAGCTTTCTCTGCAGCTTTTGGAGGACTGCAGACACCTTGAGATGGCAGTTCATTGTGCACACCCATGGCTAATGCTTGTGATCAGACAAGTCATCCAAAGTGTTGTACCTGGTGCTGCCAGGCAGAACTTCTCTCTAGTGCTGATTATTTGCTCCTGTATCTTCTGTCTGAATGGCTGCTTATCTGGCACAAGGATGAAATGAGTTGTAAGCATTACTCGTGGTAAACTTCACTATTCTTCCTCTGGAATTTGTAAAAATCCTACAGTTTTTGAAAGCTAATAGACTTCCAAGTACTTAATCATCTCTATCACATGACACCTTACAAATCCTAAACATAGCTAAAGGGTAAGTTTGGTTGAACATAAACTGGCTCAGCAACTAGCAGATATCTTACCTTGCTCTGAGGAAGAGAAGACGGGCTGAAACTTCTTCAAGGAGACTTGAATCGTGGTAAACTTGGCTGGCTGAGAACTGAGCCTGGGGAGGGTGACACACTTCAGCATGAGCACCAAGATTAAAAGCTAAGTAGCAAACCTGTGTCCTAGCTATGAGTCTTAGCTGTAGACCTGACTGGGGAGGCAAAAGAACCAGTAATGAGGTGTTGAAGAAGGATGTGTTCAGGTTGACTCTATTCAAGAAAAATCCAGAGTACACCATTTATTTAAATCAGTTTTAGTTTTCAAAATACCAGTTTAAGGATTGCCACTACTCTAAAATTGTGTTATATTAAATTTCAAATTTTAATTGCTTCTTTCTTCTGAAGTAACCCTTAGATCAGCAGGCTACAACTGTGTCTTCTCTCAGCCTGGGGATTCTGTCAGCCTTTCTAATTGCTGTGTTTGGGTTTCTTTTATGGGAAGGTAAAACCACTGCTTCTCCTGAGAAGTAACTCAGTAAGTCTGAAACTTACTATTCTTTCTCAAATTGATGTAGACATTTAAATAGACAGCACACATTTTTAAAAGGCTAAATTTCAAGTTCATATTCTCGTATTTGACACTGTTGACCTAATCTTTTAAGCTATGTAATTAATTGTCTTAGCAGATTGTTCTTAAAATGACTAGGAAGCTGGTGGCAGTGACACTTGACATGCTACACTAAGGTCATATTAGCATCTTCCACTAGTTTTCTGTCACTTAAATGAGTGTTCTGCTTCCTTTTTTTCCTGCTGTTTAGAATAAATATGTCTATCTGGAAGAATAAATACATGTAAAAACCAGATATGCATATTTTTATGTTACCATAGTTCATATTTTTGCCAGCAAACTCTATTAAAAGTAAGTAAAGTTTCATTAGCAAGTATAAAGACCGTACTATTAAATGCATCATACTACTTAGAATATTTTTGTGGCATGGTTTCTGTTAATATTTTTAGTATGCCATTCATACTCTTGGTTCTTGTGCATTTACATGTCTAAGTCATTCATTATCAGAAGTACTCAAATTCACATTGATTTTTCTGGGGAATATTAGGCTGGATTTTTTTCAGCTGGGTGGTGCTGTGCTAACGGAGAAGTCTTGAACTGGCTGCTTCTGCTCTAGGTAACTTCTGAAAGAGTTGACTCTGTCCTTTGCAGCTTGATGAGAACTTTTTGTGCTTAAACATCAGAAACAAAACTCTAGGGGAAGCTAAATAGTTGTGATTCTGCAGTCCTGTTGAACCAGTTGCTAAGTGACAAACCTGGGATGATTCCACTTTGGGGTCTCCTGTGACAATCCAATTGAAAGCAGAGGGTGAAAGTGAGTATTTGTGTTTTTTCTTAACTTAATGTAGACATATGGGCCAGTGTCTCCATATATTGTACTGGGAGGTTTTCATTCTACCACTTAGTGATTTACAGCCTTCTGTCCATTATATAATGAGCTGAGAAGCAAAATTGAAGACAGTCATGGTTATGCTGTTAGCCTGCCCAGGTTGTCTTATCCTGACCCAGGTATCTTTTGAACCCGTTGACTAACAACAAAATAAATGGAATAGAAGTCTTGACAAATGTTTCTCAAATTTGTGGAAATGCATGGCTGAATGATACACATCTGCCTTTCAGTGTGGTGGATTAATTTGGGTAGATGTAACCAAGCTGTCTTTGTTCCATGTCATTTGATGTAACTGGGGGACATGGGTGATGTTTACCTCCTGCTCAGTTGAATCGTTAATAGGACATGAACAGTGGTAGAGAATTAGAGTAGCTGTGTTGGACGGGTATGGAAGGAGCTCAGCCATATGACATAGAAACCATGCTTGATCAGTTTGGTTGGTCGCAAATATTGTTTCCACATCTTCTGGGCAACAGTAATACTTTTTTATGGGTAGCCATTGTACTATTTTGTGCACTTCTGCTTAGGACTGCTTCACCCAGGTTCAACTGGAACATAACTTCTCTTGAAGTCTACAGCAGTCTTGACTGCTTGATCTTTCTGACACCCATGAGCAGGATGAAAGTGAACTTAAGGTGTTGGTGTAGATTTGCAGTTTTGTAGGACCAGACAGCATGCTCCCTCTGAAGTTGCTGCTCCATGGTTAATGCTGGGGTGGCTGTACCAGTCACAGGTTATGCTGTGCTAGGTTTCCAACAGCTTGGACTGTCATGAGGATTCTGAAGTTTTATGTTCAGGAATTTGTCATAGAAGTTCTTGAAAACAAACTTTGTCTTACTTTGTTAAAACCTCCTCAGCCAGAGTTTGTGGTTTCATAATGGTTCTGGGGGACATGGTGGGAACTGCAGAATACTGGATGTCTAGGGAGCCCAGGTCAGAGAGAGGAAAGGCATATTGCCAGGCTTGGCTGTCTCGTCTACTTTGGGACTCACTTCATGTCATTTCAAGCAGAACGGTTTGGAGCTCTGGGAGACAGTGTAAAATAGATGAGTCTGTATGAGGGTTTCCAGCTGAGAATAAGTTCTGTGTATCAATGTCTTGAGGGCATAGCTTTTTTTGTACATTGGTTACACTAGAACAGCAAATGGCTGCCTTTGACTGGAAGAAAAGTACTTTTGCAGGCTTGCACTGAAGTCAACAGGGTAGATTGTGTCATCTTTTGGTGCCCTTATGCCACTAGATTTGTAAGTGAGCAATAACCGGAGTACAATTAGCAATAGAGAAACTCACATTTTAAAGGAAATTGAGCATATATATTGTGGCTTATGCCTTACCTGACTTTTTTTTCCTTGCAGAGCAGCTTTTGTGAACTATTTTGCCATTAAGT